TCCCCGGGCCTGGCCAGTCTCCGACCTGGGAGGCTGCTCCTGAGGCCCCTGCAGCACTCTGTCCTGCAGAGGAGACCGGCAACAAGCCAGAGCGGGACGAGCAGGGGCTGGGGACCCAGGTCCCAGTCCAAGATGAGGCACTAAACCACCTTGTGGGTTCGGACAAGAGCAGAACTGCTGGGGGCCTCTGCTCATCCACGGAAAGAAAGAAGTGGCCCAGGGGCACCGCATCTTGCTTCTGGGGGCAGCCCCGCAGGCTGGATAGGGCAGGGTGTCCACCCTCGGGCCTATAGCCACCTGCATCCTTCCTGTCTTCTGCCTTCCAATAGCTCGGCCGCAGGCCCACCTGGCTCCTGCCTCTTGCTCGAGATATTTTGTGGAGAGTTAAGGAAGAAGGAGGATAATTCACTCGGGTGGGGAAGGGGCCACTCGGCCCATGCTCCTCACACTCTGAGGACAAAAGTGAGGTCCCCCCAGGTTCCATCACACAGCAAGTTGCAGACGCTGCGTCGGCCGTGCCTGTGCCGGCTCTAAGTCCTGCCAGACCAAGGCCCCTCCAGCTGCCTCCTTCTGCTGGCTCAGGACCACGGCCTCCTCACTTGCTTCCCGTCAAGACCAGGAAGGCCTGAGCCCCTGCCGTGCCTCCCCCCATCTCCCACCAGCACTGTGCCGGCAGCGGGTGAGTGGCACCTCCTTGGCTGCTTCCATTTTGAACATACGGAGGTTTAGGAAATGTTCATGGTGAGGATGGCTCCAATACAACTGAATTTCAATTGCATCTACTTCTGGCTATGCTGTCTTACAGACAAGGATGTAGTCCTCGGCTGCTGGTGGTGTGTGGGCCGGAGGCTAGCTCGTGTCCGCATTTCCACCAAAGGTGAGCAAACAGATTCAGGAAGGGTCAGAGAGAGACATGAGGTCTTGTGCCGGCTGAGGACACCCTGGCACAGAGCAGGCTGTTCAGTAACTGCCTAATTGTTTTTTTTAAAAAAAAAATGCATGAATCATAGGAACTGCTGTTTATTTTCTAAGAAAAACATAAAGGCACTTGCACCTTCTTGAGTGACTGGCATGACCAACGGCAACAACTCCTTCCCTCCTCCGAAATACCCTGGCGTCATCCCCATTTTAGAGATGTGAAACCTGACGCCCAGAGAGGGTAAGCACTGCCCCATGCAGCCCAGCTGGGACCCAAGTCTGGCCATCGCGTGGCCACCCTGCCAGACCGTCTGCAGGGCAAGGTCTTCAACAGCTCTGTCTGCTGCAACTTCTGCCCCTGCAGCCCAGGGTGGCAGCCACCAGCCACACGTGGGCACTCAGCCCTTGCAGCGTGGCTGATGGGGCTGGGGACCGCTCAGCTGCCCCAGACCTAGAGTCAGGGGCTAGCAATTTCTCTACAGGGGCCCAGTGAATGCCCAGTCTTGAGCCTACAGGCAGCTTCATGGCCTCGGAGGCCAATGTGCTCACCTGCCCTAGAAAGAGAGAAGCAAGACAGGGAGTGGTAAGGAGCGGACCCTGAGCCACACTGGCAGCCAGTGTAGACTGGCAGGACCTGATCTCTAACTACGGTGCCACTCCCAACACCCGGGGTCACGTCGCCTGGGCTCCGCTCTCTCCTCTCCCTGCTCTCAACCCTCTTTCCTGTTCTTCACTGTGAACAGAGAGGGATCCTGCACAGGGTCTGAGCACAGAGCTCCGGGGGCCCATGTCCCCGTAGCCACGGTTAGTTCTCAAATCCAGTTGACCCTTGACTCAAACGCATACTCACCACACTTTTGGGCTTATCGGCAGTGGCAAAGCCTTAATCCCTGCCAGGCACTTGGCAGGGAGGCTGCCTCCTGCCCTGCTGTCAGCTGGTGTGTGTGCAGGGAGTACAGACTCATTTTAATATTGGCCGCAGCTAAACCTCATTAGAAAAGTAAATTTGCTATAGCTGCAAAAAAAAAAAAAAAAAAAAAAAAAAAAACAGCCGCCCCCCCCCCCCCCTCTCCCAAAGCTAAACAGAAAACACTAATTTTGGATTATTTGATGTTTTACATTCCCAGCACCAGCGCAGAGCCCAGAACACAGCAGGAGCCCAGCCAAGGGAAATGAATTTTGAGCAACCTCTGGTCACCCTGTCACCTTTCAGCACGGACAATAAGAAGTCACAGATTAGGAGTTTTGTTAAGTTTCACTATTTGTTTTCTGTGATAAATTAAAATGGTTACATCTAACAGTAATTAACATGGAACACTACTGTGGTTTGCAGTGCTGAGACAGGCTCTGGGGCCTTCTGCCTTGGATAAGGAAGGGTGGGATGCAGCCAGAGTCTGGGGGTGTGGCCAGTGGGGGGGGGCGTGAAGCAGGGAAGTGGGTCAGGTAGGAGGAGATTGCTCTAGGGCTGGTCTGGCCAGAGAATCGCTACTCCAAATTTTACAGTTATTCAGAATCTGGAAAAAATGGAGGGGTGTATAAAATAAATAAATTGGCATTCACCGAGCACTTCCCCTAAAAACAATGTGGCAAAAAACAAGGACTTCCCAATCTAAAGACATTCAGGAAACCAGGGCACAGAAGACTCTGTTTTCTTTGCAAGGCCCATTCAGCTGGTCACAGATGAAGCTGGGGTAGGACCCCAGATAGCTGGCCGAGGGCCTGTCGCTCTGACTAGGTCCATGTTCACGGCTGGCCTTCAGCAGGGCACCCACAGGTCTGCCTGCCTGGGGACCTGTTGGGGTGGGGGCTGCATGAAGGAGGGGTCCCTTCTTCCTCTTCCCCAGATGCCAGGCTTCCCCAGACTCTTCACCCTTCCCTCCTGCAGTACAGTCCAGGATCAGGGGCACCAGGGCAGGGGCCCTCAGCACCAGGACATGGCATGGTAGGAATGCCTCGCTGCAGGTCCCTGCATACTTGATGCTCATGGCTGGCTCCTCTGCTTTTGGCCTCCCTTTGCTCCCCCCTAGCGCCTTCCTTAGTAGACTGTCCAGTTGCTCCACCGAGGGGCCTCCTGTCAGGGCAGATAACTGCCAACATCAGGAGGCCTTGGCCAGCCCCGACCAGACACACCCTGTCCCCTCTGTTTGCAAATGCGATTCCATGCCTTTGTCTGATGTCTCTGCCTCCTCCTCTGTGCCTGTCTCAGACTCTCAGACTCCTTTTCATCCTGAGTCCCTGCCTCTCTGCCCTTCCAGTTCACAGCAGACAGGAGCATCCCAGCATCTCTGTGCCAGCTATCCTCTCTCGCAGCTACACGGGACCACCAAGTTCTCTGACCCCCAGGGCACAGGCTCCAGGACAGCACACTCTCTCCTATTTCTTAACATTTGCAAAGTTCCTCTCCTACCTCATCGCCCCGTGCTCCACAACCAGGAAAAGCACAGTTGGATTGGTCCCTTCATCCCCAAAATCCTACTGTGGGAAAATCCAGGTGTATTCTGGAGCCTGAGCTGTAACTGGGCTGGCCCCATGATATCTTCCTCTGGAGGTCTGTCCCGGGCTCCAGTGTTATCACGGGGGCTGTGCTTTGCCTGCTCCATGCCTCAGGAGGAACAGGCACATATTCAGCCCAGCTCACATGAGCTTCTAGCATGCCCGCACATGGAGCAATTCCCCAGCCTCTGAGGATCAGTCCAGGAACAGGAACAGCGCACCACTGGTCCCAGTGCTGAGGAGGACATAAATGTGTTAACTCTCTCTACGCCACTAACCCTAGAAGGCAGTTTTGTTGCTAGCAAAGAGACAGAGGGAAAATGGCACCTTAGGGGGTGCTGGACATGGACCATGCAGAGTGGAAGTCTCCTGGGGAAGGGTCTTCATTCCACAAGAAACAAGGGAGGGCTTGATGTCTGGTCCTAGGGAGACCAGGAAGTGCCTCAGTGTCTGCAGGGTCTACTGGCAGAGGAATGGGGCAGAAGGTGTCTTAGAAGGCCCTTGAGCAGTGGTTCTGTGAAGCCACGGATGCCCACAGCCCAGTAACTTATGAAGCAGTGCGCCTTCCACACACACACACACACACACACACACACACACGGTAATTTCACAGTGTGATGCACTGGGAAATCTGCACCCAATCATTTTAAGTAGTGCGTGATACAACCCAAGCTCAGTGCTCCGCTGGGGATCCACCTCGACTTCTGCCTAACAGCTGCCGGCTGAAGGCCCCCTCCAGCGTCTCCTGCCTAAAAACCTCCGGAGTCCCTTGGCTCCAGCTTCTACAAGAAGCCATCCAGCCAGACCACACCTGGCTGGGGGACGGAAGGAGAAAGGGGAAGGGGTCGAGGACATGGTGGAGGGGGCACTCTTGGTTTTAGCTTGTTGGTAGCAGGCTGTCATCCCCTTTACCTAATACTGTCGGACCCCCGGCTTTCCTCTTCCTTCTCGCCTGCCTCAGTTCCCAGCTGCTGCTGCTTTTTTGAAGTTGCATCCTTTGGCTTTGGGGCCCTCAGGACCTCAGGCCTGAACTCAGCTGCAGAGGCCAGGTGGCGCCTCTTCCATCCTTGATGCAAGGAGCGTGCCACCCTGGACAGTGCCCAGCCCTTCCTCGGCACTCCCAGCACAGCTGCAGACCGTGGGTCCCCTCAAGAGAGTTAACTTGCCAGTGCTGGTGCCGCAGGGCAGCTGGGGACGCCAGCGGGAAGCAGGGGCAGGGGCGAGGAGGGTGGTGGCCCCTGACTCCTCCTAGGGGATACTGGGAACCACCTGCTGAGGGGGCAGGGACCGGCGTGTAAGAGCCGGGATCAACTCTCAGGATCGGCCTGAGAACCAGGTCTCCCCTTCTTCACCCGCCGAGCAGGGCAGGGAGTGCCAGGTTTTGTTAGGAAGCCCCCAGGGCGGCAGCGGCTCCCAGCACCATCCCCCGTTCCTGCGCCCCCTCTGTGCGCACCACACACACACACACACACACACACACCCCGCGCGCGCACCGGCAGGACAGGGCCTGGGGCTGCCGAGGACGCATAAAGGGGCTCTTGTGCGTGGCGGCGGCGCCCGTGGGGGCGCGGGCGCGGTGGAGCACTGACCTGCGGCGGCGAGTCCGGATCGTCCCCGGTGCGGTCCATCGCGGGCGGCGGTCCCTACGCCCCGGCCCCGGAACCCCCAGGCTGCTGCTCTGGGCCGCGTGTGCCTCCCTCCCCGGGGGCTCTTGGGCTCTGGGCCCCCGGGGGCCACCTCATAGCCGCAGGGCCCCTGCGCCCGCCGGGCCGCCCGCAGCCCTGGCCCGGCCCAGCCGCCCCGGCCCGGCCCGGCTCCTACTGGGCTCGCGAGGCGGCGGCCGGAGTCTGGGAGCGCGCGGGAGGGCGCAGGCAGCAAGGCGCGGGGTGGGGGGCGGGGATCTGGAGATGGGAGGCGGGGTGGGGGTGCGGGGGAGCTGCGCGGAGGTAAAGGCTCGGGGGCGCGGGGCGGCCGGGCGCGCGGCCGGAGCCGAGCCGACCCGGCCGGCGGTGAGTCCCTTCGGCGGCGGCGGCGGCGGTGGCGGCGGCGGCAGCGGCGGATGCGCCGGTGCGGCCGCGGCTCTGACAGCGCCTCCCGCCCCGCCCCCACCCCGCTCCCGCCCCCTGCCCCCCGCTCCCCGCCCCCGCCCCCGAGCGCGCACGAGCTGTCGGCGGGACCAGCGCCGCTAATGGTCCGTACCAACCTCGCCAACTGGGGCGGGGGCGCGAGAAGGGAGGCCGCGCGGTGACCCCCAGAGGTCCCCAGTCATTGCACACCCCCTCCCCGGCGGAGGCGGCTCCGGCTTCAGGCACTGGAGCGGGGGCTGGCGGGCGGGGGGCGGTGCGCCAGCCCTGGCCTTCTAGAGTTAAAGCTTGCCCGCCCGGCCTGCGCGCGGTAGCTCCCCGCCTCCGTGCTGGCCGCTCCTGGCGCCCGGCTTGGCAGCCTCTCTCAAAGGGTGATTGTTTCCGCCTGGGCTCCTTGGGGGGCGGCTCTCTGGGACCGGGAGGCAAAGCTGGCTTCAGGCCCCCGCGGTGGAAAGTGGTTGTTGGGAGCGGTGGTACCTGGGCAGAACACAGGGGTGCTTGTGTGGGGTGGAGGTGAGGGTCTGCAGGTGCTGGCCAATAGGACAGTCCCCACCTGTGGGCGCAGCTGCCTGGTCGACCGCAGGGCCTGTGGAGCAGCTGTCATTGCCCCCCCACCCCCCGCAACACACACACACACACACACACACATACCCGCCCCAGCCCCCAAAGCAGTGATCTGGGCATTGCAGAGAAAAGACAGGAAGACAGTGCGGGCTGCAAGAAGTCAGGAGCAGCGAGCCAGTCAAGGAGGCCGTAGACCATCCAGGAATCCCCCAGCCTCTGCGGGCGTGCCCTGAGGGCAGGGGGCAATGGGTGATCGTGTGTCTGTGCAGATGTGTGCATGGATGTGTGTGTGTGCTGATTTAGGGGGCATTAGCCATCTAAGGAGAGCTGTCCACATGCTCCTCTCTCAGTTTGCCCGAGAGATACATGCTTGTCCTCGCACCACACTGGTGCTCCTGGACACCTGTAGTCCGGCTCTCACCAGCTGCCTCCTCTTTAAGCCCCAGGAGAAGGCCAGCTCTTGTAGCTGGGATTCTGGCCCAGTGATTTCCCCCCAGGGTCTGCTGCATCTTTTCCTAACCCAATGGTCAGCTCTAGACTCGTTGCAAGGCACCACTGAATCCAAGTTGTTCCAGGCTGAGAATCCAAGGCTTCCTTCCCGATCATCTCTCAGGACCAAGCCAGGCCCTGGTGTGGTGGGAATAAAGCAAGACCTCCTACTGGGGACGGGGCCACACTGTCCAGATATTTGAAGACATGATTGGGCGTTCTCTCTCTCTCTCTCTCTGCCCAGCTGTCCCTGCCTCTCACTCCCCCTTCCACTCCTGTGCACAGAAGCCCTCTCTGCCTGTACAGAGACTTCTCCATATCTAGCCTGAGTATCTCCTGCTGCAGTGCAGGGCCATTTCCTCCTCCCCCTCTGCAAGCCTGGTTCTGTTCTTCCTGTCCCCTGGGATAACTCTTGCTCCTGTAGACTCTTAACCTGAAACCGTATTTTCCTTCTGAGCTCGTCTCTTTCTCCACAGCAGCTGAGGGAGGGGAAGGGCAGGTGCAGGGAGAATAAGGGAGTCCCCAGGAGTGCAGAGAAAGGGCCAAGCCGTCCTAGAGGACAGTTGGCTGTCCTGCCCTGCACAGTCAAAGAATCACCAAATGGCAGGGCAGGACTGACCTTGGAGCCTGTCTGGTTCCAACCACTTTCTTTACTAACGGAGAAACTAAGCCCCACCGAGGGGCTCTTCAGTACATGGGGCCACACCCATTTCTTGCCTCTCCCTCCCTAGGTGGAGCCCAGCTTCCACATGACAAGCCAGGAGCAGTGCAGAGGAGGGGGCTGGTCCCAGCCCAGTTCTGAAGGCACCAGCTGACCAAGGCCCTCCACTTGGCTGTTCTCCCAGGAATAAACCAGGAGCTTGGACTGTGAGCTCCTGGAGGCTGTGGCCAGGTGCGTGCTCCCTGCATGGCCGTCCTCAGGGGTGTAGTCTCTGCTCATGGGAGTTCCACCAGATGGAACAGGAAGGGCGGCAAGCTTTCTCATCATTCTTGTAAAAACAGTAGTGACAATATAATCCCTTTTTAGGGACCTGCTTTGTAATTTAATCCTAGGCTGTATTTACAGAATTTTTAATATTAATTTTAAAGCCAATTTAGAACAACAATGTGAGATTAAAATTAGCATGATAAGGCTCTGTGAAGACAAGGCGAGCTGAGAGTTTCAGGGGAAGTTTTGACAATGCAACAATGACTTGGACGCGTACAAATAGACAAACAGCTCTGGAGACCCAGAACACGTACAAAGAGGCTGCGCACATGCTAATACGCCACAATGAATGCACTCAGATACCTCTCAGACACCTCACATGCACATATCTATGCATCCACACGCACACTGTGCACCACCTGCACCCACACACATGTTGAGCATTCAGACACATCAGTCCCCACCAGGTAGTCAGAACAGGAGCAGCGTCTTTCCCACTCCTCTTCTGTCTTCCTGTTTGGCCTCTGCAGGTCTGCAGAAATCCTCCCCTTCCAGATCTGGATGGAGTGCATCCCCACAACTTGGCTCTCCCTTGCTCTAAACATCTGGAGCGGCCTCTTGGTCTCGCTGAATGAATGATCTTCCCCTCTCCCTCCTCCCTGAAAGAGTGAACCCCTCTTCTCAGGGGCCCCCAAAGCCTAGCACCACAGTGTTTAGTATGCAGAGCCTGGGTCTGTCCTCTGGGACAAGCCCTTATGTGTTTATTGTGTAGTTAAGCAGGATGGGAGTCCTGCCCCCACTCTGGCCTGGCCCAGTTCCCACCATCTGAATCCCAGAAGGGTCCGGTAAAGCCGTCATCTGCATTGCAAAACTGACAAAACATCTGGGAGGGTCTGTAGGTTTTCTCCAAATCACCTGTGCCCTAATTTAATATGAATAACAATTAGTTTACTCTTATCAGTTAATTGTTCCCCAAGTGGGTTCTCTCTGCTTTGGTCTCACAGCAGGAGCTCTGGTCTGCTCCAGAATGGCAGCAGGCTTCCCTTTCAGGCCAGACTTTTCTTCTCAGCTAATAACCCTCCCCCAGCCCCAGCACACCCCAGAGGAAACACAGCTGAGTGCTCCCTGTTTGTGCCCATCTTAGCTAAGTGCTGGAGCCTCCATTTTCAGGAGGCTTGCCCCCTACCCTTTCAGGAATCTTCAGAAGAGCTTTGCTTATGTGACTGGAAAGATCCAAAGATGAATGCCACCCTGCACAGTGTAGGTGCTCACCTATCATTGCCCAGGGAAGGTTGCACAGCCCATGGACACACGTATGCACACCTGGGCACCACCAAGGAATGGACAGAGTGAAAGGGAGCGAAGCCTCCCCTCCACCTCTGCAGGCATGGGGAGTTCTCGAGGCATGCAGTCACGCCTTGCAGGGTGGTCCCAAAAGCGTGGAGGTGTGTGCATGTGTGGTGTTGGGTGGCTGAGTTCATGGCCCAGGGAAGGAAGGAGGAGAGCATCTTTCAACTCTTCTTCCTTAGGAGGCTTTTGGATGGAGCTTTGGGTCTTGGGCATCCTCGTCTCCTCATCACAACTGGAAACGGTCTCATGGACACAAGGACTCTCAGGCCCCCTCTCTCCTCCCTCCCTTCCTGACCCCTGCCTCTCTCACAAGTCTGCATCCACAGCAAGGGTGCAGTTGCATGGCTTTACAATGCTTCAGTAATTTAACTTTTGCTTTTTTTTTCCCTGTGGCTGAGGGAAGGATTAGAGACAATGGGAACAGAGCCCTGGGAGTTAGGTGGGGGGCATCTCTCTCAAACAAACCTAGGACTCCCCACAGACCCCTCAGAGCCCATTCTTGCCACATCTTCTGGAATCCCTTGTGGCCTGGGCTGGGAGGCCACTGCTTCTCCCTATAGCATCCCTGATTCTCAGAGCTGCAGGCAGTAAACTTCCCTTCCTCTGAGTTCCCTGGCACTTCATCTGGACTTCTTGGTAGCTCTTATTCATATGTAGTTACATTTGCTTGTTCATCTTTTATTGAGCTCCTGCTATTTACCAGGCACTGTGCTGGACCCCAGGGAGAGGTGTGAACAACACCCGTTAGCAACACGCTCTGTGATCAGGCCCTTTATCCACCCCAGATGATGCCCCAAGTCGTCGTGTGCATTAACTAATTTCATGACATACGATGTTATTTATGAGGTGCTGTTTCTAACGGGGTTCTATTATAGTTTCTCTTTTGTAGGTCAGGCATCTGGGGCATAGTATCCAGATAATTTAATCAAGGTCACCTGCTCAGTAAGTGACAAAGTCGACCTTTGATGTAGGCAGTCATATTCCACACATGACGCGTCTGCCCATCACCAGAGGGTTGCCTGGGGGTGCTCAGGCATTGATGGGTGCTGCTGACAAACACACACAACACATAGGGTATTGCATGACAATGGGAGGAAATAAACAGGGTCAAAGCCTAGAGAGAATGCTGGGTCACAGCTGACCTCAAATCTAAAGGAGAAAAGTCAGCGGTGTGTAGAACTGAGAGACGGACCCCAGGCCAGGGCAGCAGCAGTCAGCAAGAGACGGGCGTGTTTGAAGAACAAACTGGGGCAATGAGGTGAGAACATCCTAAAGGAGAGAGAGCCCTGTGAAGGGAGGACGCCTTTTCACATTGGAGGAAAGGAATCCTGTGCATGCCTGACCTCTTGGACTAGTGTACTCCAGACAGTGGCCGTTCCATGAATGTGATGGATGCAGTTCTTTCATGTCCTGCTGTAGCTCCCCTCCACAGCCAGGTGACAGGCCGTCAGTACAGCTTCTGCAGGAGTTCCTCCTCCCCCTTTCCCTTTGGGCTTTGGAAGACGTAGAGAAGGACCTAGGTGACTTCTCTTGTGGGTGCTTTGATCTCATTCATTCATCCGCCATAGTTTCTCATTCTGGTCGGAAACCTTGCCAGGTGC